ATCAATCCCTAACTAATGAATAATAATAATAATTTTAAAAAGTTCCCTGTATTGCACTGCTGCTTTGGGTTCATTAAACTTTCCACAGATTTGAAAAGGAAAATATAATCTACAACCCTGACAAAGTGAACGGGTGAAAAAGAAAAGCCCAAGAATGAACAGGGAGACAGAAATGATATCTGATCAGTGGATGACCACGCGGTCACTGAAGAATCTCAATGGACCGTCGCCCTGGTGGGGCCTCCCTTCCTTTGCTGAAACTCTCCATTCAAAACAATAGTAAATGCCCCGTAAAACTTTTTTTCTTATGCTAATGCATGAAACCAGGCACTTGCAGTTAAAAAACACACTTTGCAGCAACCTGGGATCTTCCTAAGCACACACATGCAGAGCGCACACAAAAAGCACATCCGCTCACTCAATTGAAACCCCAATCTCAAAAAATTGTTTAATAGGTGCTCTCTGGTCACACATCTGAAGTGAGCTACTTGCCCCCATGCGTATGCTTTTTCAGAAAAAAAAACACACAGGAGTCCTGACTATGATAAAGAAGATACGAAACCCACAGAAAGAATGAAGCACTTTTTAGAGTACTTCCCGAGGCGGGGAGAAAGGGGGGGAGTTGGGGGGTGGGGGGAGCTTGAAACTGAGTTTCATGTTGGTGAAGGGTGTCTTTGTCACCTTTCAAAAAAAATCTCAAAATCGAAAAACAACGACCCATGATTTTGTTTGCTTTCAAAACCTCTATATTCCGCAGCAAACTCTCATTATTAATTTTGGAGAAAATGAGGAGCATTGCGCTGGTGCTCCGTGTTGACTTGCAAACCACACGGCTGTTGTTCTCGACCAAGAGACTCGCCCCACATATCCAAGCCCCACGCCTGCCTGGGGGAAAAAACAACAACGATTCCAGGGCAGCAGCCTTGCCGTCCCGCCAGCTTTAGAAAACGGGAACCCTGCTCACGGAAAATGCAGCCTGTTCGGGTTGCCGCCTGTGCAATCCCCTCCTCCTCCTCCTCTTTGGGCCCCTCTGAATTTTCTGGAATCCGAGAATACAGTTTCTCTCTTTGGCATTCTTCACGTGTTTCATTTATCCATGCCTCTGACACTTAGTGAAAAGAAGGGGGGAGGCGAGGGGGGCTGGCTTCCCCCGGGGCTCCTTTTCAAAGGGCCCAGGCCCAGCGGGAACAGCTGCAGCTGTCCCCAAGGAGGTCTACCAGGCTGGGCCTGGCTGTCCCTCCACGCACCAAGAAACAGACCCTGGCACAGATAGGAACACACACACACACACACACACACACCCTAAAGCAGCAAGGCTGGTGGCTCCACCTCCCGCAAGCTGGCACCCTAAGCAGGCAGGCACTGGGATGAAAGGCGCTGCTGAGCATTCACTCTCTGCCCCTGGAGCACACAAGGACGGACTGACGACCGGGTTCTGGCCGCGTGGGCCTTTAACAAGTCAAGAGGGAGGAGAGGGGTCGAACATGCTTACAAAGTGCATACACCAACCTACTGGTTTCATGTAAAGAATCACTGGCATGGGGTGGGGTGGCTACGTCCCTTCCCTCCACCCGCCACGGAAGAGGGTGTTTATTAGACAAATACTCAATTTTGTCTGCCGGCCTGTTGAATCCCCGGGTTTGCTAATCCAGCCCGCGGGGCTGCACTGTGTACAGGGCACTTGTGGAAGTACAAAAAGCGTGAAGTATTTGTGTAGTTTTCCATCTGCAGTGCAAACAAGCTGGCCACAGTACACAGCCCCCAAGACCCCCGCAGCCAGGCAATGAGCTGCTGACCAAGCTACCCTGGAAACCCACCCCCCTCACTCTTTCTGAGAAGGCCACTCAAAGGATTTCCTCTCTGCGTGGGGCTCTCCACATAAGAGGGCTGAAGCGCCCCTGAGGAAGTAGAGTGGTCCTTCATTCCAAGGACGCCTGACCAGAAGGACCTCGTCAAACTACAGCACCGTTAGGTGGGCCAAGCGGAGAGTTGCAAGGCCACGGTCAGGGTCGGGAAGCCGTGGAGCAGGAGTGTGACCCTGTGTGAGCTCCCCCCAAATGACAAAAACAGTACAGCTCCACCTGATTCCCTGCCTGACTGCCTGCCTCAGTATCCCTCAAGAAGCATCTTTGAAACAGATGCGGAGTTGCGGGATCCCCTAAACAAGCAGAGCCCTCCCCTAGATGGGGGAATCCCAGTGAAACACCGCACACCCCCCTCCACCCAGCATCATTCAATAACCCCAAAAAACTAGCGCCATCAGAGATGCAGAGATAGTACAGCAGGTAGGGAGACCAACCAGGTTCAATATCCTGGGACCCCATATGGTCCCCCAAGCACCACCAGGAGTGATTCCTGAGTGCAGAGCCAGGAGTAACCTCTGAGCATCTCACTCTCACCCCACCGCCCCAAAAAGACTAGCATCTTCCAAAGCTGCCTGGAACACTAGAAAACCCGAACTAGGCGTCTCTGCTAAGCGACCACCTTCCATCTGTCGATCCAGGAATGTGAACCTGGCAGAGAACACCTTGTCAACTTCCTGTGACTCTGTGTCTGGAGGGTGGGAGACTGGGAGTGCCTGGGAAAACGGAAGCAGGGAAGATGAAGGAGGGCGGAGTCGGCAGGAGGCAAAGACATCGGGCTCTAAAGTCATGCCCAGGGCTCCCCAGAGGCTGGGAAAAGCTTATGGGAGCATCAAAGCTCAATCCGGGTTCCTTGGAGTCCCAGGGAGACCTGCCCAGGGGGAGGCCACACAGTGAATTTCCCACCAAGCCACTGCAAAAGTGCTCCCAGGCTGGGTAGGGGGCAAGGGGGGAAGGCCCATCCCCACTTCCAAGGAAGCCCCCACGGCCTGGGAAAAAGCAACACCCAGCCCAGGTAAGGAAACGGACAGGAGGGGGCTTGTATTGAGGTGACTAGAATAAACAGATCCCATAGGGGAGATGTGTGACCAGCCCGCCTATTCCCGCCGCTTTTCACCGCTGTATATTTTGGATTTCACAGTTTATTTACTTTACTTTTTGGCACTGGGTCCCCTGAGCATGCCAATACAATATTTGTTTAAACACTATTTTATGCCGCTTGCGAGGGAAAGGTTTACTTTCAAATTCTCCAACATCCCCCAGAGCCTCGTCTGCAAACAGCATAGGAGCGGTTTACAACTGCTCCCTTTATCTGAAGCTGTCGGGATTAAACCTTCACACGCCCGGCGAGGGTGGAGGGGGCGGAGGGGGGGGGGGCGAGGGGCTCGGCCCCGTGGCCCGCGCGCTACAAAGCCCCCGCGTACCGAGCACCCTGTCCCGGCCCGAGAGCATCGGAGCGCATCAAAGACCACCCCCACCCCCCACCTCAAGGGCCCAGCACCAGACTCGAAAGAAGTTGCTTCCAGTCGCATCCAACTCTGAGATCCGCAGGGAGGAACAAATTAATACAAAAGCAGGAGCAGGAGGAGGAGGAGGAGGAGAAGGAGGAGGAGGAGGAGGAGGAGGAGGAGGAGGAGGAGGAGGAGGAGGAGGAGGAGGAGGAGGAGGAGGAGGAGGAGGAGGAGGAGAGGAGGCACGGAGCGGCTGGGGTAGCGTGGGGGGCGAGCGCGCGCGCGCCAGGCCCGCGAGCGCCTCCAGTGCCGGTCAACCCGGGTGAGGCGCGCGGGCTCCAGTTCCCCGCGCTGTAACAAAAAAAAAAAAAGAAAGAAAGAAAGAAAGAAAAAAAAAAAGTCGGGTTTCCTAGGAAATGACAGCAATTACCACGGGGCTGAAAAGGCGCCGAGCTGGGTGGACTTGCAGCTCCCCGGCGCGGCGGGAGCGCTCACCCTAGCACACACAAGCACGCGTTCCCTGCCTCCGCCTCCTCCTCCTCCTCCCTCTCCCTGCACCCCCCACCCCTGCACACCAACACTCCCCCACTCCGCCCCAGCGCAGGGAAAAAACGCTCCCCGCTCCTCTCTCTCTGCACCCCCCACCCCTGCACACCACCACCCCCACCCCACCCCAGCGCAGGGGAAACGCTCCCCACTCTAAACCCTTAATAGGATTGGCGCCCAACTCTCCCCGCGCCTCTCCCCATCCATCACACACAGATCAAGTTGCAGTAGTGGATTTTTCAAATTCCTCAGCAAATATACTTGTTGAGAGATTGCCCCTGGGGGTGGGTAGGTAAGTAGTGGTGGAGTGGGGGGGATGAGTAGGGGGCGGGGAGGAAAAGTGAAGGGTGTGGGGTGGGGGGCCCTGCAAGGCCGGGGCGAGGGATTACGCGAGGATCCCTTCGGGAAGTCAAGCGGATCTCGGGGCAGAGGGCTGACGAGGAGGTGGGGGCGGAGGAGGGGAGGGGTGGGGTGGGGGAGCACGCGGGGAGGCTAGAGAGCCTGACCGAGGGGGAGGGGGCGACGGGCCGGACGCGAGGAAGCCGGAGCGGGGAAGAAAGAAAGGCTGCGGCTCGGCTCGGGACGCGCAGCAGTTGCCGAAGTCCACAAGTGGCCGGCGGCAGCCAGCCTCTCCTTGCGCAGTGCCCGTCCCTCCTCGGGCTCGCTCCCGCCGGCCTCCTTCCTCCCGGAGCCTCGCAGCATCCCAGGCTCCCGTGCCACCCCCCGAAAATTAAAGAAGAATTTAAAAATTTCAAAGAACATTGAGAAGAAAACAGCGCAGGCTGGGGCAAGTGGGAGATGGGAGGGGGCCGACCCGGAGGCTTCCCCCAGGTAGGAAAGGGAAGAAGGGGTGCAGAATCGCCACACACACACACACACCGGCCACGGGTTTCCAGTCCCTACCCTTCTTTATGTCCCCACCTTGCCGAGCCAGAGTCCGACGCGGGATGCCCTCCCCCCGCCCCCGCCCCAATCCTAGCCCCTCGAGGGCCCCGAAGCCCGGCGCTCCGAATCCCCGCGCCCTGGAGCGGACGCCCGGCCGAGGGACCCTCGGGAGACGGCGCAGCATCCCCGCCTGCCCCGGGGAGAGGGGATACTGCGCGGCGCGAAGCGAGCCGGAGAAAGGCCAACGCGACTTTACCGAGGAAGACAAAAGTTTGCTCCTAGCACGCAGGTGGGCTCTCGGGCTCCGGGCGCTGTCTGCGGGCCCCCATCCCAACCCGACCGGCGCAGCGAGCGGCCGCGGGCTGCCGTGTGTCCGAGGGGCCGGCCGGCCGGGGCGGGGCCGGCCACGGAGCGAGGGAGCTGGAGGGGCCGGGGGTGCTGGCGGCGGTGGCCGGCCGGGCAGCCGCTCCTACCGCCCGCTGGAAGGCAGCTCCCCGAGGTCCGGGCGCGCCGCGCGGCCCGCGCTGCCGCCGCCGCTTCCTCCGGCTTCCCCGGCTCCTCCTCGCCTGCCTCCGCGTCCGCCGCCGCCGCCGCCGCCCGCTCCTCCTCGGAGTCGCATCGATGGGACTTGGAAAAAAAGTCCTGCTCGGAGCCGCGCTGCCTCGGCTGGCCAGCCCCGGCGCTCCTGCAACCCGTCAGCGCCGCCGGGACGGCGCAGCGCCCCCGCGCGCACGGCCAGGGCACGCCCGCCCGCGCCGCCCGCCGCGCGCCCCCGCCTCGGGGGGCGCCCGGGCGGCCCGGGCTGCGAGGGGGTGGGGGCGGCCTCGGACTCCCTCGGCCGGCCCGGAGGGAGGCGGAGCACTGCGCTGCCAGAGAGTTGCAGCGGACCTCTGAGCGCCGTGCTCGTCCCCAACACTTTATTATTATAGTTTTTTAAGGGCTGGGTGAGGGGTCGCTAACTCAAGCCAGATGAGCTGCAGAACGGAGGCGCGGGGACGGCTCTGTTTCCAATCTCTGAAATCCCCCGCCCTCCCCAGCCACCTCCTTCCTCCCCTCCGCGGGGAGATGCCCGGGTCGCTGATCTCGCTGGGCGCCCGCTTCTTGGGGCGCCCGGGCGGAAGCCGGGGAGGAGGGAGGGCGGCCTGAGCCCGGCGGGGCTGGGCCCCTCTTCCCTCCCACCCCCCGTGGAGAGCGCGCGCAGGTGCCGGGGAAGAGGGGATGTCCTGGGCAGACCCCCCCCCCACACACACACACCCACCGCGGCCCGCACAAGGCCCCATCGGAGCGCATGCTTCTTCTAGGTTGGGTGCGTGTGTGTTTGGTAGGGAGGGTTTTTGTTTTGTTTTGCTTTTTTTAGAGACTCCACTCGAGCTGCCGCAGCCAGATGGAAGTAATCAGAACCCAACAACAACAGAGGAAGGAGGAAGAAAAACCCTCACTGAATGTGGATGGGGGGGGGGGGGGGGGATTGAACGCGCTCGCTTAAACAAACCTCAGGGATGGGCCCTAGGCCTTTGCAGCCACACCACCGTCCCAAACGGAGCAGCCTGGTTTGGAGAAGCACGGGGACCTAAAACTGGCTCAAGGACCTGCGACCCTGAGAACTGCCACTCTTTCCAGGCCATAGGGGCCTTACCCAAACACTGCCCCATTCAAGGAAAAGAAAATTGTTCCTATGTTTGCGTAGCACTTATGATGGGACAGGTGGCACATTAGCTCTACTTGATATAATTTAACCTTCAAATCTCCATAAATTTGGGGCCAGAGAGATAGTTAAAAGGACTGGAACAGGGGAGCCCCAGTTTGATCCCTAGATCCTGGCGGTTGTCTGGGCACCACCAGAAGTAGCAAAAAGAGAAGGGCTGTGAACAGAGAGATGGTACAGAGTTGCCTTGCAGGCAGTCAACCTGGTTAGATCACTACTTCTGATTCCCTGACACTGCCAGGGGTCACTTCTGAGCACTGATTCAGGAATAATCCCTGAGCACTGCTGGGTATGAGCCAAACTCCTCTTCCATACATGCCTCACCTCCAGAAAACACACACACACACACACACACACACACACACACACAATCTCCTTAAGTTTCTTCTGCGCCCACTATGTAGCTGAGAAGCCTGAGACTTAAATGAATTTATCCTGGGTGGGAACCCTGTACCTCTGACCCTCCTCAGCACTCTGGATGAACCGTTCATTCCACTAAATAGCCCTTGGGACTGCTTGGGGAAGCTTCTCAAGCTGCAGACCCTCTTCCTTTGCCTCCTATAGCGCATCTTTTCCCTCAAGGGCTCAGAGACCCAGTACTACCTAGAGTTGGTTATCCTTCCTGATCTGTTTACTGGACTTTTTTTTTTTTCAGTAACACTCTCTAGAGGGCTCTAAACCCAACTCCCTTTATTCTTCACTTTTTATTCCCAGAGGGAACATTCACCCCATTCTTATCACCTCCCTTCCTCAGTTCTCCTTACATTCATTCATACAAGAACCAACAATTCCTCCCTGGCCTCAAGGGGAAAAAATATACACAACAATATTAGAACGACTTGATGCTAATTTTATTTTTCTCAAATTGGCTCACCAGAGAGAGAGAGAGAGAGAGAGAGAGAGAGAGAGAGAGAGAGAGAGGAATGGAAACCTGCAGAGTTGTAAAGAGCAAAGCCAATGTATTTATTAAAGGGCAAGAGAGGTTTGAAAGGGGCTTTTTCTTTAAATATGATCAGATTCACCATCCCTCCCTGCTATTTGTTTAAATTCCTGCTGAGCTTCCAGAACACAGACTTGAAGGAGACAGAAAAAGTAAACTCTCCCTCCCCTCCTTGGCCATATTTTAATGACCCTATTCATATCTACTCCTTGAAATGCGGGGAATCATTTCATGTTACTGGATATTCGCAGCGTCAACTGATTACTTCATTACAAGCTCGTCTCTGTTGGTTTCCTTGTGTTGTTAAGTTTGTGAAGAAGTTTAAACAAATCAACATTTGGGGATATTTCCCTTTTCTCTGTTTTTCTGCTCAGACCAGCTCAGTTGCTGCTGGAATTCAGGCACTCCCATGACTTTCCCCGGCTTGTTTTGGCAAGAAGATGGCTGTTGAGATGAAGATGGAATGTTTCTGAGTTTGAGGGGAGTCTGGAGACATAGTGCCTTAATCTCTAGATGGCCAGAAGTTTGGGCGTGGAAAATCAACAGGGTTTAGAGCAGAGGCAAACTGAAACAGCAGAGAAAGACTTCATCTTGGTTCTGGGACACCAGGGTTTGATCCCAGATGTGGTGGTAAATGTTGAACCCTGGGTTTGTCCTAGTTCATTCAGTCAGCAGCTTGCTGCCTATCAGGAGCTCCGCTTAGTGGCATGACTTAAGTGATTTCACAGTAAGCAAAACAAAACTTCACACCCTCATAGTGTTTATTTGGGGGAGGGCAGGTTTGGAGTCACACCCATTGGTGTTGGGAGGGTGTTGGGGGTCACTCCTGTCAGTGCTCAGGGACCATGTAGTACTAGGAATCGAGCCAGGGCTGACCACATGCAAGGCAGTCTTCTTAATCCCTGTACTATCTCTTTAACCCCTCCAAAGAGTTTAATGCTACAATAATGACCACAAGTAAATATATAATCACAAATTAAGCAAAGAAAAATTACAAAGTGCTCTAAGAGCTTATGGTCTGTGGGGGCACAGGGACAGCATAGGGAAAACTTTCCTGAGGACATGATGTTTTCAGTGGTAAAAAGAAGAAATGAAGGACAACAAAAAGCAAAAGGGAAATCGCTGGAACTACATTGAATAAAACAGCTTCTGCAAAGCAATCTAAACTATCAACAGATTGGGAAAAGTATCCCATGAAACAGGAGAAAATATTTCAAACCATGTATCTAACAAGGGGTTAACTTCTAAGATATGAAAGGACCTCCTAAAACACAATCATTTGCGCGCGCGCACACACACACACACACACACACACACACGACCCAGTATAAAATGAGCAAAGGACTTGACTAAATATTTCTCCCAAGAAGATATGGAAATGTCCAACAGTGATACGAAAAAAAAAGTTCTCCCTACCTAAATTGTTGAGGAAACACAAATAAATAGCAGAATGAGCTACAACGCCTCAGATATGTCCAGGCAACTACTCTCAAAGAAAGATGACAAGTGTTGGCAAAGTGGTGGAGAAATTGACAGCTTTGTGTACTGTTGGTGGGAATGTAAGACGTTGTGGAAAACAGTCTGGAGATTCCTCAAAATACAGGGTATGATCTCACTTCTGGGTTTATATCCTAAACAATTGAAATCACGATCTGGAGCATCACAATCTGCATTCCCATGCTCCTTGCAGCCTTTTTCACTCTTCCCGAATGTGTCATCGCCCAAAAGTTTGTTGGCAGATGAAGAGACAAGGAAAATAAGATACATACCTATAACCTAACATTATTCAGCCTTAAAAGGAAGGCAGGCAGAGAGATAGTACAGAGACTAATGTGCTTGTCATAGAATGTGACTGACCCTCGTTTGACCCCCAACTCTGCATAGGTTCCTCAAGGAGCTCCAGGAGTGACCTCTGAGTACAGAGCCAGGAGTAAACCCTGCGAACCACCAGGTAGGGCCTCCAAAACAAATAAAAAAGAAGGAAATCCTACCATTTACAGTGATACAGGTCCACTTGGAAGAAATCAGGTTAAGTGAAGTCTGTCATTGGAGGCTAAACACTCACGCATCAGAAATAGAGGTCTACAAGTGGACAGGACACTGTGGATAACAGGGATTGAGGAGAGGGATGCCAGGAGTTGTTCAATAGCCATAACATTATGCTTTTATATATATATATATATACTCCTTGTATGAGAGGAGTAAGTTTCAGAGAACTGCTCTAGAACAGATTGTTCAGATTTAACAATAAAATATTGTGTACTATTTAAATAAAAAAATTCTAAATCATCACTAGCAATTAGCTCATGAAAACATATTACAATTCTGTTCACTAGATTTTATCCAATGTGTATTGTCAAGATATGCACAGCCTTGATGTATATGTATATTCCCTACTTGACTCCTTCTCAGGTAGGCACCACATTAAATTCTAGTTCTATAAAATGGAATTAATGAAAAATATATAGGATATTGTCTACTTAAAATTTCAAGAGGGTAGGGCCAAGGTAGATAACTCGAGGGCTCGGGGTGTATGCCTTGCATGTATAGGGACCCTAGTTCAATCCCCAACACTGCCAGGTGTAGTCCTGGAGGCCTCCAAACAACTTTAACAGCCCTGAACCCAAACAGCAAGGCTGGATGCTAGAAGGAGCGTGATGATTTGGAAGCGCCCACATCAGGACTGAGGGAGGAGATCCGTGGAGGAGAAGCTGGCAGT